GCAGGGCGGGTCTCGAACCCGCGGGCTCGGGCCGTCCACTCCCCTCGGCCTCCCCAAGGCGCGGGGTTACAGCTCAGCCACCGAGCCAGGCTAGTCACTTTCTAATAGCAAAAATCATTCCAGATTATTTAGACTTTTCCTAGACTTACTGATCCACACACTTAATCCCATAGCAATTTTTTAAAAATTTGTAGTCTCTGTTGCCCAGGCCGGAGTGTCGTGGCACACTCACGGCCACCCCAGTGTTGACCTGCTGGGCTCCAGCGATCCTTCTACCTCAGCCTTCCCAGTAGCCAAAACCACTCAGGCAATTCACTCACCTCAGCCTCCCAGAGGCGCGGGATGACAGGCTGAGCCACCGAGCCCAGCTGATCCTTTTGTTTTGGTTGGACTGAGTCGGATGTTGTAAAGAGAAGGACGGACCCTGCAGGCAGGGGGGTGTCGTGTGGGGTGGGACCCTGCAGAGTTCAGAGACACAGAGCTCCCGGTGAGGGCACTGGGACATCGATTTAATTCCTTCGTTTTATTTTTTTAAGGAAACTTTAAATTTAAGACTAGTATCCCAGGCGGGGTGCGGTGGCCCACGCTTTTAATCCTGGTGCTTTGGGAGGTCAAAGTGGGAAGACTGCCTGAGCCCAGGAGTTCGAGACCATCTTAGGCAACATAGTGAGATTCCATCTCTACAAAAAAAGTTTAAAAAATTAGCCAGGCATGCATCCCAGCTACACAGGAGGCTGAGGCAGAAGGGCCGGTTGAGCCCAGGAGTTTAAGGTTGCAGTGAATTATGATGGTGCCACTGCACTCTGGCCTGGGTGACAGAGTGAGACTGCCTCAAAATAAAAAAGAAAGCATTCTAGAAAGTGTGCGCATCATAAAACAGACTTCCCAGTTACTCAAAGTCCGTGCCATAGACATGCAGCTTGCTGTGATTTTGTTTTACCCGTCTCCCCTTGGTCCTAGCTCTTTCCCTGATTTCCAGGGTCACTCCTAACGCCTGGCTCCAGCTTAGTGGAGCATACCAGTTCTGGGATTCTGTAATTCCCAGGGCAGAGGTTCTCATGCATCAGTGTGTGTGTTGTGTCGCCAGGCATCGTGAGCAAAAAACGCAGTGCTCAGACCTGACACTCCCTAAGTGCAGGATCTAATCATTCTAGTTTCTTTTCTTTTCTTTTATTTTGTAGGGACAGTGTCTTGCTCTGCCACCCAGGCTGGAGTGCAGTGGCACCATTATAGCTCATTAAAATTCCAACTCCTGGGCTCAAGAGATCCTCCTGCCTCAGCCTCCTGAGTCCCATGCCTGACGATTTTTTCTTTAAATTACTTGTTGTAGAGATGAAGGTCTTGCTATGTTTGTGCAGGCTCATCTCGAACTCTTGGCCTCAGCTTCTGTCCTCACTCGCTCGTGGCAAGTCTTGGGATTACAGTCGTGAGCAACCAGGCTCACCTCTGGAATTTTTAACAAGGACCCCAGGGGATCCTGACATAGCAGACAGAGCCAACACTGCGAGAAACGCTGTACTTTTCCTGCACCCAAATCTGGATGAAACCTGACAGCCTGTGAGATTAAACTAGATTGCAGTTTTTATCTTGCCATTGGGAGGCAGTAAAGGGTTTGCTAGAAGAGTGTGAGCTTGAGATGGGACCCTGTTTGTGTGCCGAACCACATCCCGTCTCTTCCACGGGGAGCCGCTCACCTCTCCCTTACTTTGCCCTGCTTGAGAGCCTTCCACGACCTTGAATCCTGCACATGCCTACTCAGGCCAGGCTGGCTGCTTGGTTTCAGAAGCCTGGGAACGCTGTCTTGGATAGCAAAAGCCCTTAGTGGCTATGCTAATCTTGCAAGAGAAGTCAAGTAGAAAGAACAGGGGAGCAGGTTTGTTTTCCTTCCCAACGGAGGGCACTTCAGGCATGATTTTCTTATGCCTTGGAACAGAGACACCAACTGTTTTGTAATGAGGCCTGTGCCCTCCTTGGTGAACGGACCCTTGGCTTGAGGGAGTTTTGCTGCTTTTAGGCTCCCAGTACCCTTTGGCAGGCACCTGCCAGCTCTGATCCAGAGCATTCAACCCGAGAATTAGCAGATTCCATTGAAACCCAAGGTTAGGAGAAGAAAAGCCCCAAGAAAACAGCCAAGTTTTCTGCCTCAATGTGAATTTCTAAACCCTTTATTCTGGAGAGAAATCACATTGTCATGCTGTGGTTTCTTTCTTTTTAAAAAATTTATTTATTGACTTACTCGTTTTTCAGAGCTAGGCCTTGCTCCGTTGCCCAGGCTGAGGGCAGTGGTGCCTCGGACCTCTCTGCAGCCTCGAACTCCAGGGCTCAGTGACGCTCCCGCCTCCCCTCCCAAAGCTCTGGGATGACAGGCATGAGCCAGTGTCCTCAGCCCCAACTTCTTTGTGCTGATGTGATGCTTTTCCAAGTGTGGTCCCCCAGCCAGTCGTCCTTCAGTGTCACCTGGGAGTTTGTTAGAAACAAAAAGTATGAGGTCCTGCTCCAGATGTACAGAAGCAGAAATTCTGGAGATTGGGCCTGGGAACTTGTGTCTTAACACATTTTCTAGTGATTGTGATGCATGCTCAAGCGTGAGAACCACTGGCTCAGTCATAATGCCCACAGGAATGCTGTCAACCAAGCCAAGAGAATCTCAGTTCAGCCAGGTAACTGACGTCAGGAGAAGCTCTGGCTAACTGGTGGGGGTGCAGTTTTCTGGGTTTTTATTTTGGCTCTCCATTGCAGTAGTGAGAGATTTCTGTAAGCTAGAGGTAAAAGAGAAACCGTTACTGGAAATTAGGAGGCCAGGAATGCTTCCATGGACCTCTTCAGTGTCTTCTGACCAAGAGATGATGACTGGAACCAGAATTTTAAAAAATCAACAGTTCACTCATGTCTACAAGATACAGTTGAAATCCAGTTCTTTAGCAGAGCCCTCCAGAGCTGACCTTTAGCTGTCTTCTGCAACCCGTCTTCCGCCTCTCTCCTACTGTTTCAGTCATTGCTACTGCCGTGACCATGATGCTAACTCCACAGAATCCCACCGAAGCGCGGCATGTCACAGATGTCCTGCCTCTGCCTCCAAGCTCACTGGCAGGCTGCGGGAGGTCTCCACCCGCTGTCCCAGCCCACAGTCTCCTCTGAACCCCCGATGGCCCTTGACCTTACGCCCTGGCCACTCAAAGTGTAGCCCCTGGACCCGATCCCTGGTGTTCCGTGGAAGCTTGGAACAATGCCATGGTGGCTCTCCCGTGTGTGTGTCTTTGAGCATGTGATGTGCTGATGTCTGTAGGATTAAAGAATTGCTGAGGGAAAGAACACGTGCATTTTAAACTGGCAAGAGGGAGAACAAAAATGCCCTCTAAAGAGTAGTACCAGCTTACATACTCGGAAAGCTTTAAAAGACACAAAATTAGAGGCTACTCTTTACTCAGTTCATGAGATTCTGAGGGAGGGGCCTTGGAGTCTGTATTTTATTTTTCTGTTGATTCTGATACAGGAAGTATGCAGAATGGAATGGGGAAGCCAGAGGGCAGACCCCTTTCCCCCCAAGTTGCTACTCCTCTTGGGCTGCCTGGAATTGCTATGTGTCTTTTTTTTTTGAGTTGGCATCTCACTCTGTTGCCCAGGCTGCAGTGCAGTGGCATGCATGCTCACAGCCATTCCAGCACCTACTTGCTGGGCTCCAGCAATCCTTCCACCTCAGCCTTCCAAGGAGCCGGAACTACAAGCACACGCTACCATAACCGGCTAATTTTTTATTTATTGTAGGGACAAGTCTCACCAAGTCTCCTGGGCTGATCTCAAACACGCAGACTCAGGCAATCCCCTCACCTTAGCCTCCCAAAGTGCTGGGATAACAAACTGAGCCACCGAGCCCGGCCTGCCATGTGTCTTTTTATATGACTGCTCTATCTCCTCACCAAGGTGGAAGATTTCTGGAGACACACCTAGAGTCATTGCCTCTTTATTGTCTTACACAGCGTTTTGCATAGCAGTGTTTGTCAATGAAGAGTGTTTTGGGCTAATGTTATGATTTTGTGGTTTTTTTTTAGTTCCATGGACCAAACACAGAGGAGAATCCTGGGCCAGCCCCTTCTCGGCTCTACTTCTCAGCCCCCCAAAAGGACAACAATGATATCTTTCTTTTCCAAGGTCTGACACAAAATACTGTGAACAAATGTGCATTCCCAGTAGCTGTTTTGTGGGATGTGTGCTTGCCTATCCTGTGGCTAGTTAGGCCTGTTCTGTTTGATGACAGTTCTTTTAGCATGGATAGAATGTGTATAGGATGACAAGAAGATGAACTGAGAAGAGTTTAACTTGCTCCTAACTTAACAAAAGTACAGGATAAACTGCACTGAATATTCAGAAGTAATAATGAAGCTTAGAAACCACCAAATCTTGTCAACAGCATGGTGGAGATGGCCGAATCTGGATCCAATCTCCCCACCCTCCTTACTGAGGATGGTGAGGAGGTGGCTTTTGTCTTTAGTTTTGTCTGGGTTGTTGACTACCTTGATTCGGACTCTGGTACATGCTGCTATGTACTAGGTTCTGCAAGGCACCAAAGCTTTCCCAGTGTGGGAGTGCATATGTTTGCCACAGAGGGATCCCATCTCTTGCCCCATCCCTGGCTCTACAGTTACTTAGAGTTTAGTCCTTGAAGTGCAGATTTCTGGCAGACATACAGCGTCTCCCAGTTTGTATCTTTTATGCATTTCTCTTCCCGTTCTTAATTGCATGGACACATTTTGTCTGGGTTGGAGACATCCTTCAAGTGTCCTAAAATGTTTGGAGAAGTGGACTAGATGCTTGCAGATATGCTTTGCTAACTGTGTCAAGCATTATTGACAGGTTCAGGAAGATGGACACTGGCCCTTGGAATCAGCCATATGTTGGTGTCGGGGTGGGTGGAGAGACATCAGCCTGACTGCAGTGGGATCAAGAGAGAATGGGCGGAGAGGAATTGGAGAAAGCACATATAGACGTGTTTTCCAAGGTGTTTTGCTACAAAACAGAGCAGAAACATGGGGAGGAAACGGAGAAAGGAGAAGTGTAAAGGGAACTCTTTTCTCGGAGATGGGCAGTGGCAGCACACTTCGACTGTGCAGGGCCCACAGCGATGCTTGTTAGGGCCTCTTTCTCTCAGCTTCTGCTGCACCCAGAGCTGCTGTAGAGCCCCTCTCCGCCATCCCTAAACCCACCTCCACGCCAGCTCTGCGTCATGTTTCTGGCCCCCTTTCCTCTGGCTCTATCCCTTTATTCACGATATCAGTCAAACTCATACATTTCCAGCAAAACCCAGGCATCTTTAGTTGGAGAAAGAAAGTCAAAAATTCGGCAGGCAATCGCAGGATTTTCTTGAGAGGGAGGGGCTGGGGCTGGGGCTGGGGATGGCCGTGACGCTGAGGACTCCCAAACCGAAAACATTTCCGACCCACCGCCCAGGTCTCTTGGAAACCGAGGTTCCGGAAGCGGGAGCCTCTGAAGAATGTGCTTTCCGTCTTGGCAGAAAGAGCCCGGGACCCCAATGCCAAGAAGCGCTCCACGGCAATCAGGGGCCTGGGAACCATGGCCCGTGAAGCCCCTGACAAGGTAGGGAAGGAAGGTGGAGCTCAGTCGGCCCTCTGGAGTGTCTCCAGCCTTGCCGTGTGGAGTCCCAGGGCCGGGGTGGGTCTCTCATGGACAAGTCCGTCCTCTGTCCCTGGCGAACTGACCACTGCAGGCGTAGCAGTTTGAAGCAGCTCGTGCTTAGTGGCTCAGCTTCTGTGGGTCAAGAGTCCAGGTGAGGCTTAACTGGGTCCTCAGGGTCTCACAAGTCTGTCACCTAAAGCCGGCCAGACTGCATTCCTTTCTGAAGCTCAATCTTTTCCCATGCTTCTGTGGCTGTTGGCAGAATAATTCCGTTCCCTTCAGTTGCAGGACCAAGGTTTCTGTTGTGTTTCCCAGCTGTCTGCTGGGGGCCCCTCTCAGTGCTTAAAGACCACCCTGTCACCACACAGCAGCTCACTTTTCCTTCAGCAAGAGAGTGTCATCTACTCCTGTCTGCTAAGACGGAGTCTCATGTAATGTAAAGTAACTGTGGGAGGGATGTCCCATTGTCTTTGTCATGTGCACAGAGAAGTTACAGGTTCCTGCCACACTCAGGTCCCCTGTGTCATCCAGCTCCAGCACCCTACTTGAAGCGCCCTACCCAGAGGCTACACACCATATTGTTTTCTTTTCTTCCTTCCTCCTTCCTTCCTTCTTTCTTTCTTTCTCTTTCTTTGTCTCACTCTGTCACCCAGGCTGGAGTGCAGAGGCACAAAGGCACACTCACGGCCACCACAGCGTCTACCTGCTAGGTTGAGGTGATCCTTCTGCCTCAACCTTCCAAGTAACTGGAACTACAGGCATGTGCTACCATGCCCAGCTAATCTTTTAAAAAATGGATTGTAGAAATGAGGTCTTGCCAAGTTGCCCAGATTGGTCTCAAACCCATGGGCTCAGGCAATCCTCTCACCTCGACCTCTCACAGTGCTGGGATTATGAGCATGAGCCACTGCACCCCACCTCATATTGTCCTTTCTCTTCTCCTTCCAAGACTAAGTCGGGCCCTCTTGTTGGGTTAATGGAAGCATTTGTACTTTGATGAGATTTGCTGTGCAGCTCCTGAAGAAAGTCATGGTTCTCAGTCCAAGTCCTAGGTTATTGGTAGGTGAGACGTGGGGTTGCTTTTCAACCCACGGGAAACAGTTCCTGTGCTCCTGATGCGTTTCATTGACAACAGGTGAGGAAGTATAAGAAAACTATCTTGGACCTGCTAGTGCATGGATTGTACGACCCTGTGAGCTCTGAAGTCATCCACGAGAGTATGAAGACTCTGACCATCATCCTGGGCAAGACCCAGGGGAAGGGGTTGGGCTCCTTCTTCACAGACATCACCCTTCAGACCAGGACCTTTTTAGACGACGTAAGTGGGGCACTCTGGAAAGTTCTGGGCCACTGAAACCGAAGTGGGATTAGAAATGTGAGCCGTGGTGGTTTGCTGCTCAGAGAGTAAGTTCTCTGTTATTTACTGAACACCTCTGATTGACTAAAGCACATCTTATTGAGAGACCAGTGCTGTGCCCGTGGTTAGGGAGACCATGTAAAGTTGTGCAGGATTCCATCTTCACCCCAGGGAATTTTCATTTTAATAGGGAAGTGAGTATGCATACACCGATGGTGGGGATAATGCTAGCATGCATTCAATGCTCTTATATATGTTTAACAATAGCAGTGGTTGGCATTTAGTGAGCGCTTACTGTGTGCCCTCCACAGTGCTAGGTGGTTTGCATGAATCATCTCACATAAGCTTTACAGTAACCCTGTGAGGTGGGCAATGTGATTATCTTTACTTGTAGATGAGGAAACCAAGGCACAGATAGGTTAGAGGCTGCCCAGCATTCATGGGTCTGGTAAATGGATGTGAGACCACATCTTCTGTCTATGGGGCTGCAGTCTTAACGAAGGATCACAAGACAGACAAAGCACTAAGTGCATTGGTATGCTGTTCAGTCTGAGTCCACGAGGAGTCAAGCTAACAAGCTTGCCTGCCACAGCTATTCTCTGAAACACAAGACCTGCAGAACAGAGAACAGACCCTTTATTTACTCACAGAGCGGCTCGTATCAGTTCCCACACCCTAATTCTCCATAGAGCAGCACAGTGAGAGCCACATGCACCAGCATGACAGGAGAGGAAGAGAGGCCTTGAAGTTATGAAGCGTGGGGCACATTTGCCCCTCCTGCCTCCAGAGAGACACAGGGAGATGTTTACTCTTGAATGTAAACCATTCCTCCCCGGAGAGAGGCCAGGATGGTCTCTACCTCACCACTCTGGAATGTAAGCAAATGTCTCAGGGACATGGCTCTCAATCTCTCTGGAGGCGCCATCTGAACTTCTGGAACTTGTTTTCCATTCAGCCGTTTTTCAAGCCCAGGCTGTCTGCGGATTTTGGTTAGAAGGCCCTGGTCATATAGAAACATCGAAACTCTCATGCAGAGTGGTTTGCTGACAGTTTGCATCTCTATTATAGACAGTATTCTTCACTCTGTCTGATGCTATGCTCACCTGTGCATGTGTTTCCCACTGGTTGGTTGTCGGACTCCTGGGGCGCCAGTATTTGCCTAATGCATCTCTATATATCTCATAGGGGTAGGGTTTGGGTGAGGTACATTCTCAATTAGAGTTGGTTGACTTGAATCTCACACACACACACACACACACACACACACAAACTGGTGGAGCAGTGAAGAAAATATCAATTAGAGTTGGTTGACTTGAAACACACACACACACACACACACACACACACACACACTAACTGGTGGAGCAGTGAAGAAAATATCAATTAGAGTTGGTTGACTTGAAACACACACACACACACACACACACACACTAACTGGTGGAGCAGTGAAGAAAATACAACCTCAAGCCCGGCACAGCGGTTCACATCTGCAGTCACAGCTACTCAGGAGGCTGAGGCAGGAGGATTGCTCGAGCCCCAGGAGTTTGAGGCTAGCCTGTTAACATAGACTTGATCTCTAAAAAATTTTAAAAGCAAACAAACAAAAAATCCGGAGGCAATTTCTGTATCACTGTTCTAATTTTTTTTTAGAAATACAAAATTATTAGTGGTGATCAGTCTTGCTGAGTGTCTGTGACCCCCCAGTTCTAGGTGCCTCTCGCCCCCTGAAGAGGCCACCCCTGCCCTGTCCCCTCTGGTTAACCTGGAGCTGGACTAGACCATGAAACATTGATATAAAAACCCAGGCATCAAGAATCAGGAGTCCAGATTACTACACTGGCTCTCTGTTACCTGGTGAAATGCCCTAGGCCTTGGTCTCTTTACCTGGAAAGATGGTACTTCGATCAAACAGCTCATCTTGGAAAGAAAGAAAGGGCTGAGCCCACTGACATGCGATCAGGTACAAAACAACCAATCAGACGAAAAGCAGGCAGAACTGGGAGGATGCCAGGGAAAAAAACATGATTATTGTATCTGCTACAGATGGGAGAAACTCAGGACAAAAGTGAAGAGGGGTGTCTGGACAGAAATGCTAGGAGTCATAAACAGGGGACTGGTAGAAAGGATTTTGATGCAGAAAAGAAAAAGACGAAATAGAAAAACTCCTTTACGTATTGACATGGAAAGAGCTCCCAGACTGACTGATGGAAAAATCAGAGTGCATAACCACAGTGGCAAGGTATACCTCCATCCATACAAAAAAGAGGGAAAGGACCATATGATATAAGTTTTCCTTTTTCTTCTTTATTTTCTGAAGAGATGCGCACAAAACGTCTAACTTTTTTAGTTTGTGGAGAGGAAAATTGGGTGGCAGATGGCAAGGAGGAGGAAGGACATATTTTCCTATTGACTTTTTTGGTTATTTTGAATTTTGAGCCCTGTAAATGTATTCTGTCTCCAAAATGTGAAAGGATGAAAGAAAAAGCTGGGAAACTGGGAGTGGCACTAGTGATTCCTCAGGCTCATCCTCCACGATATTCTGCTGGAGACGAGGTCTATTGAGGACTCTGCCCCTCTCCTTGCCAACCTAGCCACCAGCGGCCTTAGACTGGCTCTCACAGCCCACCCCTGCTATGTACATCCAAGAATGAGGGTTGTGATATGTTCTGATGCTGTTGCCTTTGGGTGATGACCTGGCTTTGTCGTTGCTCTGTTGATGGGAACCCCACAGGAGAATGATAACCTGAGATACTCAGCCTTCGTATTGTTTGGGCAGTTGGCTGCCTCTGCCAGGCGGAAGTGGAGAAAGTTTTTCACCGGTCAGGTCAAGCAGACACGGAGTTCCCTCCTGATCCATTTACGGGATAGAAATCCCCAGGTTGCCAAGGTAAGAACTTGACTCTTCAGCCAACTGTGTGGAACATCCATGTTGTTCACCGATGCAGTTATGGTTTTGCCACAACCCTTCCTTGGGCTCCAGCTGGTGCAATGGTGGATTCTTCGCAGGCATCTCTGTGCATCCCAGATGAGGTGTTTCCTCAGTGTGTGATCTCTCTCTGAGCAAGGGCGTTGTTCTCCATTTGCTCAAGCCCGGCACCTGTTGATCCTAGATAAGATCAGGGTAGTGGAGTGGGAGGCAGAGGAGTGCAGGTTTCACCAGAGGCACAGCAGCCCCCAGAGTGAGAAGGCTGGTTTATGCCCAGTCAGCTTTTGCACTGTGTCTGGTATAGATTTTCCATCTCTGGCTTCTTAACTCCCTACAGAAGTTTGTTATATTTTGGGGGAAAATGTGTCCCAGCATGGCTGGATCAACTTTAGGCCTGCTTTGGAATAGGACTTGGTGAATGTTTCAAAACCACTGGGAGCAAAGGATCCTTTTTTTTTTTTTTTTTTTTAGTTGGAGTCTCAGTCTCACTGTCACCCAGGCTGGAGCGCAGTGGCATGCTGACAGCCACTCCAGCGTTGACCTGCCGGGCTCCAGCGATCCTCCTACCTCAGCCTTCTAGGTAGCCAGAACTATAGGTATGCGCTACCATTTTATTTATTGTATTTTATTTATTGTAGAGATGAGGTCTCGCCAAATTGCCCGGGCTGGTCTCGAACTCACAGGCTCAGGCAATCCACTCGCCTCGGCCTCCCAAAGTGCTGGGATGGCAGGCTGAGCCACCAAGCCCCGCAGGGAGCAAAGGATTCTGATAAACCACTTGTCTTCTTTAAGTCGCTGGGGGTGGGAGGAGGTAGGGGGAAGGAGACAGAGTTTAGCAATCCAGTACTTTTTTTTTTTTTTTGAGTTTGAGTTTGAGTTTGAGTCTCATTCTATCCCCCTGGCTGGAGTGCAGTCACAATCCCTGCTACTGCAGCCTCAACCTACTATGCTTAGCTGATCCTTCTGTCTCAGACTTCCAAGTAGCTGGGACTACAGGTGCACGTCACCATGTCTGACTGATTTTTGATTTATTGTGGAGACGAGCTCTTGCCCTACTGCCCAGGCTGCTCTCAGCCTCCCAAAGTGCTGGGATTACAGGTACAAGCCACCATGCCTGGCCCAGTACTACTTTTGATGGGACAGTAACAAGGGCTGTGGTAAACTATGCCCTTCTCTCTGGTCACCACATTAGACATGGCTGTTTTATAAGCTTGTGTCCTTTAAGGTTCAAGATTTCAAACTACCTGGATGTCCCTTTCCCACTGTCAGTGGCCTCCTGACCACAGGTTGGGTGCAGTCCCCTGGGATAGCTTTCCTCGCTTGGGATCATAGATGTCTCTAATGTTTTGGACAATAAAATGGGAACGTTATTTTTCTCAGGCCTGCAGAACAACTTTTCGAGCCTGTTCTCCATATCTGAAACCGAGGAAGGAATACAGCTTCCAGAGTGAAGAAGATCAAAGAAACCCTAAACTCTGCCGACAGCTGGTGAGTGAGCCCGGGTGGGGGAGAATTCTCCTAGGTCTCTGCCCTCCTGGTGGTGAACGTGGGAGGTGGCCAAGCACGCAGGGCGTTGCCCCCCACACAGCTACTCAGGCGACGGCGCTCCAGGTGTCATTGATCCACCATCCAAAGTAAATGGCAAAACACCCGGGGGATTATCCCTATGCACAGATACATCGGCAGTTTCCGTTCAGGCTCCCAGCTGAACTCAGGGGATGCCTCCACTCCTCCCACCCGCTCCTCTTCAAGACGACGGGTCCCCTCCAGGAGGTGTGCTGAGCCCCCCTCCCGTGTGCCTTTGCTGATTCCTTCCAGAGCCACTGCCATCCTGAGCTCCTGCAGTTCTTCTACGCAAATAAGATTCTGTAATTGCAGCGCAGCAGGGAAATGCCCCCGTGTGAGCAGATTGCTGCGGCTGTGTGCTCTCCTTTCAGGAGTGTGATGGAAAGGAAGACGTCAGGAGAGCAACAGGTGGCCAAAACAGCACCATGGACTTTGTGATTAGGCTTGAAGCAGACTTCTACGTTGCTTTCACGTCCCTCACTTTTCCCATATAACTTGATAATCAGGTGCAAACTTTCTTTAAAACGTTTCAAGCGTATGTAGAGGCATTGCTTATCTCTTGACTGTTTCCTTCTTAAGTTCATCCCTGTCACCTGCCTTTAATCGTTAATATTTAATTTATGAGGCTTAGTAGAATAAACTTTAAGTTTTCTAAAAAAAACTTTAAGTTTTCTGAAAAAAAATACTTGCAGTTGATACTTTGCTATTTGCTATGGATATCTTTTCTCGGCAAGATTTACTTGAAGTTGGCCAAGACGCTGGCAGATTTCCTTTGAAAAACTTGGCCATGGCAGGTCTTTCTGCCATGAAGCTTTCTTTTGCTCTTCTTTCTCTAACAAACTTTGCTCGAAAGCTTTAAAATAAAATAAAGTTGGCCAAGATGCTAAGGAGGTAGCTTGCAGGGGTATCTGTAGCTTCTCCTAGTTTTAAACAGTCACCACTTCCGAGATCATCTTAAATAAAAGTTAATAAAAAAAAAAAAACCTATAAAGGATGTGTTGAAAGTCCTCAGACTAGTGATAACTTATGGAATTATAATAGTAGGTATAACATTACTGAGAGTGTTTACAATTTATCAGGCACTGTGGAAGTGCTATTTGCCAGCATTATTTAATACTCAACAGCCCTATGAGATAGGTACTATTATTATCCTCATTTTAGAGACGAGAAAGCTAAGGTACAGGGAAGTTAAGTAACTTGCTCAAGGTGACTCAGGAAATGGTGGAGCCAGAGTTCAAATTGACTCCTTGAGCTCACTCTATTGCCATGCTATCCTGCCTCTTCATGGAATGACTGATGAATGGTTAGGAATGTAGAAAAACAAACAAAAACCAAAATTAGCTTCTTAGCTTCTTCTCTTCTATGAAACCCAGTTAATGTTTGCTTTTTATGCACTAAGTATACATTTTCATTAATTTAATTTATCTGAGCCAAGTGCATCACTTCTTGGCTATCATGCCAGTTTTTGGGTGATCAAGCCTAGTTATCTGAGGTGTCGCATCACTCTTACAAAAAGTTTTAAGACTTCTCTTAGCCCTTCCTGCCAAATTGCTTCCCAAGCTCCTACAGAAATTCCACCACTGAACCACCACTGGACTCGGTATCCAACCATGCCTGGAGCTTTGTGGTCGGTCTTGGAAGTGGAAAGATCAGCAAGGACGGAAAACGCAAGAGGGTGACAGAGCCACGGAGGGCTCCTAAGTGACGTTCTGAGAACCAGGAGCCAAATGTTCTGCTGTGGCTCCCAAAGACAGGGCCATGCGGCACAGGCGAGGGGATGAGGAGAGCCCGAGGCAAAAGGGTTGAGGAGCCGGCAGAAGGCCGCAGGGGCCGGGCGGGGTGGGGCTTCTTCCTTCCTGTCCTGAAGCTGAGGAGCTCGACAGAGGAGTTCCCAGGAGGGACCCAGGCTGGAGAGCAGAGGGATGATCCGAGTTGTGGCACCCCCACTCTGGGTGCTGTCCTGTTTGAAACTGTGCTGCAAGGTTGGCTCAGAATTTGTGCGGTTCCGTTAAGTGATCAGTGAGCGGCCCAAGAAACAATTGCACTCCACTGGCATTCAAAAAGTTAGGGATGGGGTGAGGCGAGTGAATGGCATGCTCTAGAGCAGAAAAATCTATGCAGTCATGTCCCTCCACCCATTAAAACGGTGGAAGATGCTGCTGGATCATTTGGCCTTAAGGGTTCATGAGAGACTCTTACTTCGGTGGCCCCAATGAACCATGACTCCTGACATCCACGTGCTCACACAGTCCCCTCCCTTGACTCTGCGGCCAGCTGTAACCAGGAGACTGTGGTGGGAGTGGCACTGTGCAGGTTCTAGAAGCCCTGGCAGCTTCCTCTTTTGCACTGGGGGGAAACCAGTTGCCACCCAAGAGGTTGAACTGCCAGGAGCAAAGGATAATGGCTGAGATCACCCGGTGGAGGAGAATGGAGACACCCAGCCCCTGGCACAGTCTGAGGCTCAGACACACGACACACGTTGGCCTTTCCAGCCAGACCCCAATCCTCCAGGCTCTTCCAGCTAACATGCGGAAAAGAGACACATCGCCATCACGCCTGTCTTGACTGCAGAACTGTGAGCAAGAAACCAGATGACTGTTGTTTTATGTCATTAGCTTTTGGATAGTTTGTCACACAGCGATAAGTAAGCCCAAAAGCTTTTTAAACCTATATGTATATGTATGTGCATTTTAATATAAATATTAAAATATGTGTACTTTTTCCCTGCTCTATTGGAGTTGCTGAAGGCAAGACCCTGTCTTGTGTATCTTTGTAACTCCCATGTGGCCACCGCAGAAATACTCAGTTAGGTGCTAAGTGAATGTTGATTAGGGAGGAAATAAGTGAGAAAGTCATTTGAAACTGTCACTCGTTTTTGGGAGGAGTCCATTTTGACAGATTGGGGTCATCATTTCACACATTATGATCGAGCTACGTTACTTTTATGCTTGTGTGTTTCATGTTTCCCCTTCCCCAGAAGATGCCTGTTAATTTGAATGCCAACCAAAAGGTAGTTGCTCTCACATTTCTTACATTTGAACATTGGACATTGAACAGTTGAATGAAAGAAAGAAAAAAGAATTCCCAATTGCTCCCGTGCTAAGTGCTCAGGGTAGAGCTGTGCACAAAACTTCATCCTTGTGTTCAGAGTGCTCATGAGATGGGTCTTTCTCAAAGGGAGGGGAGAGAGGGAAAGGAAAGACAGAGAAGGAAGCTGTGAATCTAACAGGTGCAGCCAATCCTGCTAATCGGTGTGAACCAAGCCTGTGAAATACCGGTCAATAGTCGACTTTGTTGGGGGAGTGATTCACACATCATCAAATATACTAGAGTGTGTTTTAGAAAGAGAGAGAAACAACAGCTGTGTTGGGTGGTGAACAGTTAGCCTTGTACATAAGGCAGCCATGTGTGCTTTTCTGCATTTTCCAAGTCTTCAGCAATGAGTTTGTATGCCTTTTATAATCAAAACACAAGCAAAAAATGCCATTTTACAAGTGGAAACACGCCCAAACATGTAAGGGATATGCTTTGGACAGCCTGGGAGGTTATTGTTCACTCTCAGTAGTATGTTTGCCTTTGCCCTTGTGGGACGTTTTTGTTTAACCCTGTTGACGATACAACTTGTTGATGACAGATAAAATGGCTTATGGTTGATTATTGCTGTATTTATGTTACTGAACTTACATTATTTCAGTCTGACCATAATACAGTAAGTCTTTGAAGATTTTTTAAAAAGCTTTTAAAGAAAGTTTACTAGAGAAAGAAGAGAGAAAATAAAGGGAGACCTGCCAGAGCTAGCACTGGCCAGAGGAACACCCTGAAGATTCTAATAGAAACCAACCTATCATTTCCATAGCCCTTCCTCGATCCCTACTGCCTGGAATACTTTGCTCTCCAGTTCCTCTTCTTTAGAGGTGGAGCAGAGCACATGGGAGGATGCAGCTTGGCTTGCCACCTACCTGTGTAGCTTTGGCAAGCCAACACACCCAGCCTCAGTTTACTGGTCAGTAAAACGAGATAACTCAACACACAGAGTTGCTGGGCTACAGAGACTCTCTTGGGTTTTGCTGAGCACTTGGCACAGTGCTTGGCACACAGGAGATGCCGAGGAAATGTTAATTGTTTTTGCTCTTCACTCCCAATCAACTCTCCAGGCATTGTTTCTTTTCTTCTTGAATCTGCCCAGGTCTTCAGAGAGGTCCACTGGTAGTTTGAGTATGACCTTAATCCTCTGATCCTGGGAGCAGCTTCCGGATCCTTCTCCTCACCAGTTCTCTAAGAACATAGCTTTGAGCCTTGTCTGCCTTGGGCATTAAAAAAAGATGGGCTGAATTTACTGAATTGCAAGTGCTAGTGCCTTGACTAAGCACAAATCTGTCACCCGATAGGCTTTGGAATCTTAATAAAAGCAAGAACCATAACTGAATGAGAATAACAAGTGGTTCTTTCTCACTAGAACTTTGTTGGGGTGTTATGAATGCTCAGAGCAGGAGCAATGCCTTTGTGTGCTCTCGAGATGGTCCCGTTAGGTTCTGTTCATTCCATCCTAATATTCCCAACAGCTGTTAGTAATTCTGTCTCTTCTCTTTTAAGTAATCTTTTGTTAATAATCAACACCCCACTTTCCCAGTGTGACTGCTGTGATTATGTTCCTTTCAAGGGGATGAATTTCCTATGGCAGTTTGCAAATGCTAACCAGGTAAAGGCCCAAATGTCTCCCTGCAGGGAGGAAGTGTTTTTCAGAAATGTAGGCCAGAGAGTTCAACTGTCATTTCCTAAGTCACCCTGCGAGGGGCACATGCCTTGCGCACAGCAAAAGTGCACGCAGGAGTCCAAAGCTTTTCCACATGCCTGCCTGACTGCATCTGCAGATATGGAACCACCTGCTAGGTGAGGAGAGAAGCTCAGTTCTCATACCCGACATCAAGTGCACAGAAAGGACACTAGATTTGGTGTCAGAAGGCCTGGCTTTACAAGCTAGCATTACTGACTGGCTGATTATCTTGAGCAAATCACATACACTGAAGTTTCTTTCTCCGTAAAACAGGGGCAAAACCCACGGCATGGGATACTCTCATGAGCAAATGAGGCAGTCTGTGTAAACTGTCCGACGTTGCCCTAAAATGAAATGAAATGTTTGTGTTTACTTGACAGACACTCATTCTTTTTTTTTTTTTTTTTTTTTTGAGTAGGAGTCTCACTCTGTCGCCCAGACTGGAGTGCAGTGGCCGCTCCCGGCCACCGCAGCCTCGACCTGCTGGGCTCCGGCGATCCTTCCGCCTCAGCCTTCTGAGTAGCCGGCATTACAGGTGCGTGTTACCACGCCTGGCTAATTTTTTGATTATTGTAGAGATGAGGTCTCGCCTGCCCAGGCTGGTCTTGAACCCGTGGGCTCAGGCAATGTACTCACCTCAGCCTCCCAAAGGCGCAGGATTACAGGCTGAGCCACCGAGCCTGGCCAGACACTCATTCTTAGAGCCGACATACAAGTGGAAGGGTGGAAAGCCTGAACACAAATCCCAATTTAAAAGCAACAAATAATTAGTATGCAAAAAAATTTTAAACATAAGAACAATAAAATGACATGATATATCATTTTACATAAGGATGCTTTTCCAGATAATGAATACTACTGTTACATGTAAAATTAAGATTCAACTTATAATTTGAACACCTATCCATTTGTCCAGTTGCATCCAAACCTTTTTGTTTGATAGGAAGAGTTACCTTCAGAAATTAGGTCCAGGTGTAAACACAGATCCCGGTAGAACAAAGGTCTTTCAAGATTAAACATTTAACTGTGCAAATTCCATTAGCTTCCTAATAAAATTT